TGACTTTTTACTAAAATCATTTCTTTATCTGGCTAGAAAAGGAAATTCAGAAAACTGCATTATTGTTGTTAACAGCAAAGGCTGGTATGTAGAAATGTATCTGATGTAGCAAATCATTAACATGAGCACATCATAAAAACTTCTACACAACTGTATTGAAAGTAAACTGACACAAACTTAAATTATGACAGCAGTTACTGGTGATAAATTATAGCAGCAACTTTTTCTCATAAGCAACGCTAACTTTTTTTTTTAAGCAGGAGTCTTACTGTTGCCCAGGCTGGAGTGCAGTGGCTCACTCACAGCCACCGCCGCAGCCCGTTGGGCTCAGAAGATCCTTCTGCCTCAGTCTTCCAAATAGCTGGAACTACAGGAATGTGCCACCATGCCCAACTAATTTTTTTTTTTAATTATAGAGACAAGGTCTCACCAAGTTGCCCAGGCTAGTCTTGAACCCTTGGACTCAGGCAGTCCTCTCACTTCTGCCTCCCATAGTGTTGGGATTACAGGCATGAGCCACCATACCTGGCATACTAACTTTTCTGAAAGCCTGGCCAACAAGCAAAGCAGAGATAAAAATTATGGAAGGAAATTTAAGACATATTTGACATTATTTGTGAGGAATAAAGAAGTATTCTCCTTGCCAACTAAAAGCCCCGTAATTGTTCAAATAAAACCATATTAAAGAAACAGCACTGGTTGGGCAGGGTGACTCATGCCTGTAATCCCAGCACTTTGGGAGGCCAAGGTGGAAGGACTGCTTGAGCTCAGGAGTTTGAGACCAGCCTAGGTAACGCAGCAAGATCACATCTTTACAAAAATTAAAAAAGTAACTGGGTATGGTGGTGCATGCCTGTAGTCCCAGCTACTCAGGAGGCTGAGGTGGAAGGATCACCTGAGTCCAGAAGGTCAAGGCTGCAGTGAGCCATGATGGTCAAGCCATGATTGTACCACTGCCTCCCAGCCTGGGTGACAGAGTGAGGCCCCAACTCAAAAAACCAGAGCTTACACTAAAAAAGCCCTGGCTGAATGCTAATGAAGTTTTAAAACCTAAGAAAGGCACAACCAGCATAAAAATAAACCAAAGGAGATGTTGCTGCTTTAAGAGAATCTATTAAAGTAGGTGGTAATCTTAAGACTATGCCACATCATATTCATTTCAGTGAATCAATAACTTCATGATACTTGACAGATTTAGGAAGCTAAGACTTCAAACCAAACCAAAACCTGTAAATACCTGCACCATTAAACTTTCCCACAAACAACTCAGTTCTCTTCTGCAGAAAATATAAACCACAAAAATGTTATCAGGAATCCTTTGGGTTCTTTGCAAAGTCACCAGCAGGAAGCTGTCCACTTTCTGACCATCTTGGCTGTTCTCACACGCTGCCCCCCCATCCTGCTCTTCTACCTCCCTGGGCTGTAGTTATACCTCAGACGTTTAAAGGCGGCACCAACTTTCTCAAGGTAAAGGTCAGGATGCTGCTGCACACCACCACCCACTGTTACCCGTAATGCATCCTGAGCTTTCCACACTACAGGGAAAGCCAATTCACTAAAACCACGGTTGGACTTTCCACAGTCTAAGAACACATTTTGATAAAATACCATAACGCAGACTCACAACTGACCCAAGTTTTATGAGTTTTCATTTCCTGTAAGCCTTACTGTCAGTGACACCCACTCCCCTGTAGACCAAGGATGCCAAAAACCCCAGTGTAGCGGAGAAACTGGAAACTCCAGATAAATCACTGAGATCCATGAATAAATCATCTGTTCTTTTATGTCCTGGATACAGAGGTCTGATCCTAAAACATAAAAATTCATCCTAGAATTCCATAATCTCCAAGGATTAAGTCTTTCCTCATTATTCTTGAATAAGACTTTCCCACCTGGAATATTATCTCTGCCACTTTCAATCTTTAAGGTCTACTAATAGCGCTAATTGTAAATTAGGTGAGATGGTTGAGTCCATGTAATAGCCATAATTCCTGCTTCCAGATCAGGAATCCTTGACTAGCACATTGATTTTGCACAACAGGTCACAGGTTCTAACAGGACGGTGGTCTTCACCAACCTCTACGGATGACCGCTAATACACAGCTATGAGTGCACGGCCCAGCCCCCATCGCCTCGGTTCTGAGCCCAGGGCTCTGCTCCAGTGCGTCACAGCCCCCAAGCACAACAGTGTCAGACTCAATTCTGTCAGAATCCACTGCTGTCTCCTGCTACTGACAAGCAAGGGCACACGGTGGGCACAAGGAACACCTTTTTCGATGCCATGGTTTACAAAGGGCTCCTGCCAGCTGCAGATCATCTCTCTCTAACAGAGCTTTCCCGCGAGGAAGCAGGCAGCAACTGACAGGCAGGCAGGGAAGGGCAGGGGCACGTAACAGGGCTCTTAGAAATGAGGGAATCACAACCTCACAACTTGGCTGTTACTGTCAAGATTTGTTGTCTAAAAAAATAATTACAGATGTTCATTAGGAAAGATGACTTCTGCTTTCTTTTCTTTGGTCAGTGTTTTAAGAACATCTTTTTAGGGCCAGGCACGAAGGCTCAAGCCTATATTCCCAGCACTTTTGGAGGCCCAGGGATTCGAGACCAACCTGGGCAACTTGGCAAGACCTGTCTCTACAAAAAAATCAAAAAATTAGCTGGGCATGGTAGCGCGCACCTGTAGTTCCAGCTACTTGGAGGGCTGAGGCAAAAGGATTGCGTGAACCCAGCAGGTCAAGTCTGCGGTGGCCGTGAGCATGCCACTGCATTCCAGTCTGGGCGACAGAGTGAGACGATGACTCAAAACAACAACAAAAAAACCATTTACAAAAGACCATTACATATGTTTGTCCTTTATAATCTTTGGGTGCCTTTTTTAAACGCTGGAATATAAACATGTTTCATACTACACCAAAAGTTGAACACATGGGTTATTTAAATAATTTTAGAGTTTCAGAATATCTGGATACTCACCGACTTCAGAACAACCCTTGGATATCAGAGGATCAAATCTGTAAACACCGTCTATGAGCCAGTGCAGAGGTCATACTCAAATCATCAAAGTAAGTCAGGCAACTATGCAGAGCCTCTTGCAGTTTGACCATGGCCTTCTTGCAAACCAAGATGTGAAGTCACAATCACCTGCTATCCAAGAAATGCTGGCCACCACTGCTCCCTGAAGGAGGTTATTTACAAAGTAAAACTGCCCCAAATCTCACTTTTCTCTAACACAGTAGAGTAGACCAAATCAACAGCTGGCTTATTTTCTCTCTAAATGCTGTTTTACAGTGTAGTTATTTAAATAACAAATGTTAGTTATACTAAGGAGTAACAGCTTTCAAAGTTTTATCATCAGCAAGGCAGCCTAGATAAAACCTTCCAGGGTGGGCTGCAGAGGTGATACCTCGCTCACAGAAGAACTGCTTGGGAGTTTAGAGAAGAAAAGAACCGCAAAGCTGCAGTGACTAGGATCTAAACCAACATGCTGTTTTTCTTAAATAAGACTTTGCTTTTGAGTTACCTTTTCAGTAGTATTACCGAGCCACTTCTCAGCTAGTTATACTGTTCCCAAGCTTGAAAAATCGATATTGAACACAGGAAAAAAAAAATGTCTAACAAGGTCTCAAAAGCCATATTTCCTTCACTTTCAGATACACTTTAAATCTTAGTCCTTTGCACTCGGATGTCTCCTCTGAGGGGACATTGTAAATCTGCAAACCACTGATATCCCCTCTCCGGGTGATTATACAGGACAAACTTATGCAGACGCAAAGTTTTCAAAAGTGTATATTAACTTGAAGTTTTCCATTCAAATTGCACGAAAAAGCAAATAAAGAGATGGTGTATATGCTGAGATATGACCAATCAGTTGAGAAGTGATTTTCAGGAATCACAAGTGTGTCCTATCCATAGGATACACTCTTTGCACAGCAGACTTGACAATAAATTACATATTATTAGTGTGGGAGGAAGAAAACGAGACTTCACTGTCTGCTCAAATAGAAAAACACCAGGTGGTAGACTTCAAACAAATTACTCTTGCACAATATGTATCAATGAACCTGCAATGTATGTCGGTGCCTGTTAAACACGTTAGAAAAATAAATAAAATTTTGATCTTTTGGGTCATAAATAGCTTCAATTCCATTATAAGTCAAATATCATTACAATAAAATAACTGGTTTCAATGCTGTACTAGTTAACATGAAGTGATTTGTTTTTCACTATTTTGTAAAAAAGTGTGGTTGAGTTGCTGGTAGGTGATCTGCAAGATGTCTGAGTGCAAAGGGTTAAAATTTTATGGAAAAAGGATTTTGGAGCATGACAAAAAGCACAAAATTGATTATCAACATCCTCTTAGATGTACACATATCTTCAATGTATCACCTCCAACCGTTTCTGTCGATTTAACATCCATGAGAGAAAAAAAAAAACTTGTCCAGCTAGCCTATATCGAGGCTTTAAAACGCTCTGCCTTATTCTACGAATTTCAGTGGAAAACGAAATAGAGAAAAACCCGGCTCTCAAGTCCAACATAACACGTAAAGAGGAACTACTGAGAAAGCGACTGAGCTCACTTGAGATGAACCAAGTTTACCAGGCAAACGTCCCAGGGCGCCTTTAAAGATCACAACGAACAAAACCCGCGAATACAGCGACAGTGACGGGCAAACCAGAACTCAATCTCAGAGGATCCTGAAATCCCAATCCGTCCCAGGCACACACATCCCTGCACCGATGTGCTGAATGCAAACAGTCAGAACGAACAGGCTTAGCAAAAAGTTCCTTTCCGGCCGTAAGCCCCCTTAGTCCGCTTCCGACCACCCGCTGCCTCATGCTGACGCCAGGACCGTACTAGGCGGTGGGATGAAAAGTGTGGCTCTGGCTGAGCGCCAAGGCTTCCCCTACAAAGGGCAGCGTCGCGGGGCACTGCAGGGACCCTGGCCGACAGACACTGGGAGGGCTTTGCTCTCAGGAGAGGACCCAAGGAAGGAACGCACAGACGAAGCCCAGCGCGGCCCCCACAGCCACGTCCCCGCCACCCCGCGCCCCGGTGCAGCCCGCGCCCCCGAGAGCGGCTCCCCGCAACCGAGCCCCGCGCTGGCCGGGCACCTCCCGGGCCTCAGGCCAGCCCTCCGCCGGCCCGCCGGCCCCCTCCTTCCCCGCGACCCGGGGCGACGGCGGGCTGCGGGCAGCCCCGCGCCCGAAACCCGTCGCGAGCGCGACCTTGGCCGAGCGGCTCCGCTCGCGGCGCCTTCGGGGCCCCGTCGCAGGGCCGCAGGGAGGGCCGCCCGAGACCCGCGCGAAGCGCCCCGACGCCCGGCGAACGCTCTGCCCGGGGCCCCCCGAGCGCGGCCCCGGGCGAGGAGG